CCGGCGTCCTGGGCCTGCCCGACCTCGTCGCCGTCCTCACCCGGGTCATCGAGGAGACCGAGGAGCGGCTCAGCAAGGTGTCCTTCCGAGGCCTGAGGCGCCAGGTGTCCGCCTCCGAGCTGCACACGTCTGGGATCCTGGGCCCCGAGACCCTGCGGGACCTGGCCCAGGGCACTAAGACGCTGCAGGAGGTGACGGAGATGGACTCGGTCAAGCGCTACCTGGAGGGCACCAGCTGCATCGCGGGCGTCCTGGTGCCCGCCAAGGACGAGCCCGGCCGCCAGGAGAAGATGAGCATCTACCAGGCCATGTGGAAGGGCGTGCTGCGGCCCGGCACGGCCCTGGTGCTGCTGGAGGCGCAGGCGGCCACCGGCTTCGTCATCGACCCCGTGCGCAACCTGAGGCTGTCGGTGGAGGAGGCCGTGGCCGCGGGCGTGGTGGGCGGCGAGATCCAGGAGAAGCTGCTGTCGGCCGAGCGCGCCGTCACCGGCTACACCGACCCCTACAGCGGGCAGCAGATCTCCCTCTTCCAGGCCATGCAGAAGGACCTCATCGTCCGGGAGCACGGCATCCGCCTGCTGGAGGCCCAGATCGCCACGGGCGGCGTCATCGACCCCGTGCACAGCCACCGCGTGCCCGTGGACGTGGCCTACCGGCGCGGCTACTTCGATCAGATGCTGAACTTGATCCTATTGGACCCTTCTGATGACACCAAGGGCTTCTTCGACCCCAACACACACGAGAACCTCACGTACCTGCAGCTTCTGGAGCGCTGCGTGCGTGACCCCGAGACGGGCCTGTACCTCCTGCCACTCAGCGGCATGCAGTCTCCGCTGGTGGATGGTGCCACCCGGCAGGCCTTCCAGAACCTGCTGCTCTCCGTGAAGTACGGGCGGTTTCGGGGGCAGAGGGTCTCTGCGTGGGAGCTAGTCAACTCTGAGTACTTCAGCGAGGGCCGCAGGAGGCAGCTGCTGCGTGGCTACCGGCGGCGTGAGGTCACACTGGGGCAGGTGGCACAGCTGCTGGAGGCAGAGACGCAGAGACAGGCGGACGTCATGCTGCCCGCACTGCGGGGCCAGGTCACCATCCACCAGCTCCTGGAGGCCCGTATCATTGACCAGCACCTGTTGGACCAAGTGCTGGCCAGGACAGTCAGCCCCGAGGCACTCCTACTCATGGATGGCGTCCGCAGGTACCTGTGCGGCCTGGGAGCTGTGGGCGGCGTGCGGCTGCTGCCCTCCGGCCAGCGGCTTAGCCTCTATCAGGCCATGAGGCGGAAGCTGCTGGGGCCCAGTGTGGCCCTGGCCCTGCTGGAGGCTCAGGCAGCCACCGGAGCCATCGTGGACCCTCACAGCCTGGAGAGCCTCTCGGTGGACGAGGCCGTGCGCAGGGGTGTGGTGGGGCCGGAGCTGTATGGCAGGCTGAAGCGGGCTGAGGGTGCCATCACTGGCTTCAGAGACCCCTTCTCTGGGAAGCAGGTGTCTCTGTTCCAGGCCATGAAGAAAGGTCTCCTCTCTTGGGAGCAAGCTGTCCGCCTCCTGGAGGCTCAGGTGGCCACGGGAGGGGTCATTGACCCCACTGGCCACCACCACCTCCCCATGCCAGTGGCCATTCAGCATGGCTGTGTTGACCAGGAGATGGAGACAGCCTTGTCCAGCTCCTCCGAGACCTTCCCCACACCCGACGGCCAGGGACGCACCAGCTATGCCCGGCTCCTGGAGCAGTGCCCCAGGGATGAGGCTTCTGGCCTTCACCTCCTGCCCCTGCCAGAAAGTGCTCCTGTCCTCTCCACCGAGGAGCAAGTCCAGAAGAGCCTGCAGGCCATGCCGGGGGCTGAGGACGGCACATCCCTCTGGGACCTGCTCAGCTCCTGCCACTTCACTGAGGAGCAACGGAGGGGCCTGCTGGAGGACGTGCAGGAGGGGAGGACCACTGTGCCACAGCTGCTAGCCTCTGTGCAGAGGTGGCTACAGGAGACTAAGCTCCTGGCCCAAGCTCATGTCATGGTGCCCGGCCCACGGGGTGAGATCCCCGCCGTCTGGCTGCTGGATGCTGGCATCATCACCCAGGAGACCCTTGAGGCCCTGGCTCAGGGCACACAGTCGCCTGCCCAGGTCGCTGAGCAGCCGGCGGTGAAGGCCTACCTGTGGGGCACAGGCTGCGTGGCTGGTGTGCTGCTGCAGCCCTCTGGAGCCAAGGTCAGTATCGCCCAGGCCATGAGGGACGGCCTCCTGCCCACAGGCCTGGGCCAGAGGCTGCTGGAAGCCCAGGTGGCATCTGGCTTCCTTGTTGATCCCCTGAACAACCAGAGACTGTCGGTGGAGGACGCGGTTAAGGTCGGCCTGGTGGGCAGGGAGCTGAGTGAGCAGCTTGGGCAGGCCGAGAGGGCAGTGGCCGGGTACCCAGATCCCTACTCTGGGGGCTCCCTCTCTCTGTGGCAGGCCATGGAGAAGGGACTCGTGCCACAGAACGAGGGCTTGCCCCTCCTGCAGGTGCAGCTGGCCACAGGGGGTGTGGTGGACCCTGTCCACGGGGTGCACCTGCCCCAGGCAGCAGCCTGCAGACTCGGCCTTCTGGACACACAGATGAGCCAGGTGCTAACAGCAGTTGACAAGGACAACAAGTTCTTCTTTGACCCCAGTGCGCGGGACCAGGTGACCTACCAGCAGCTCAGGGAGCGCTGCGTGTGCGACTCCGAGACTGGCTTGTTGCTGCTGCCACTGCCCTCAGACACAGCACTTGAGGTGGACGACCACACTGCGGTGGCTCTTAGGGCCATGAAGGTGCCCGTCAGCACAGGGAGGTTTAAGGGGTGTAGTGTGTCGCTCTGGGACCTGCTGCTCTCCGAGTACGTCTGTGCTGACAAGCGGCGGGAGCTGGTGGCACTCTGTCGGTCTGGGAGGGCTGCAGCCCTGCGGCAGGTGGTCAGCGTGGTCACTGCCCTGGTCGAGGATGCAGAGAGGCAGCCCCTGCAGGCCACCTTCAGAGGGCTCCGGAAGCAGGTGTCAGCCAGGGACCTGTTCAGGGCACAGCTCATCAGCAGGAAGACGCTGGACGAGCTGAGCCAGGGGACGATGACGGTGAAGGAGGTGGCGGAGACGGACAGCGTGAGGCAGTTCCTGGAGGGAGGCAATTTCATTGCCGGGGTCCTTGTCCAGGGCACCCAGGAGAGGATGAGCATCCCAGAAGCCCTGAGGAGGCACATCCTGCGGCCTGGCACAGCTCTGGTACTGCTGGAGGCACAGGCAGCTACTGGCTTCATCATCGACCCCGTGGAGAACCGGAAGCTGACCGTGGAGGAGGCGTTCAAAGCAGGGATGTTTGGCAAAGAAACCTACGTGAAGCTGCTGTCGGCCGAGCGCGCCGTCACCGGCTACACCGACCCCTACACCGGGCAGCAGATCTCCCTCTTCCAGGCCATGCAGAAAGGCCTCATCGTCCGGGAGCACGGCATCCGCCTGCTGGAGGCCCAGATCGCCACGGGCGGCGTCATCGACCCCGTGCACAGCCACCGCGTGCCCGTGGACGTGGCCTACCGGTGTGGCTACTTTGATGAGGAGCTGAACCGCGTCCTGGCGGACCCCAGCGACGACACCAAGGGCTTCTTTGACCCCAACACACACGAGAACCTCACGTACCTACAGCTTCTGGAGCGCTGCGTTGAGGACCCCGAGACGGGCCTGTACCTGCTACAAATCATAAAGAAAGGAGAAACCTACGTGCATATCAGTGAGGCCATGAGACATGAGTTGCAATCTAGAACTGCAAAAATGCGCGTGGGGAGGTTTGCTGACCAGGTGGTCTCTTTCTGGGACCTGCTGTCCTCTCCATACTTCACAGAGGACAGGAAGCGGGAGCTCATCCAGGAGTATGGAACCCAGAGTGGGGGCCTGGAGAAATTGCTGGAAATCATTACCAAGACAATTGAAGAAACAGAGACGCAAAACCAAGGCATCAAGGTGGCGGCCATCAGAGGGGAGGTGACAGCTGCAGAGCTGTTCAACTCCGGGGTCATCGATCAGAAGACCCTGCATACCCTTCGTGCGGGGAGGACTGGGGGACAAGCACTCAGCACACTGGAGTGTGTAAAGCCTTACCTGGAAGGCAGCGGCTACATTGCAGGGGTGATGGTGCCCTCCACCAGGGAGGTCATGAGCCTTCATGAGGCCAGCAGGAAGGAGCTCATCCCTGTAGGATTTGCGACTTGGCTGCTGGAGGCACAGGCCGCGACTGGGTTCCTCCTGGACCCCTGCACCCACCAGAGGCTCTCCGTGGACGAGGCTGTGGATGTGGGCCTGGTGAGCGAGGAGCTACGGGAGAGGCTCCTGAAGGCCGAAAGGGCTGCCACGGGCTACAGGGATCCAGCCACGGGAGACACAATCCCACTGTTCCAGGCCATGCAGAAGCAGCTCATTGAGAACGCAGAGGCACTGAGGTTGCTGGAGGTGCAGGTGGCCACGGGGGGTGTCATCGACCCACTGCACCACCACCGGCTCCCACTGGAAACCGCCTACAGACGTGGCTGTCTGAAAGAGGACATCTATGCGCTCATTTCTAACCAGAAGCACATGAGGAAACGGTTTGTGGACCCGAACACGCAGGAGAAGGTCTCCTACCGAGAGCTGCAGGAGAGGTGCCACCCGCAAGAGGACACTGGCTGGGTGCTCTTCCCAGTGAACAAGGATGCACGGGACTCCGAATACATAGACGACAAGACGAGAAGGGCCCTGGAGGCAGAGCAAGTGGAAATAACAGTGGGAAGGTTCAGAGGTAAGAAGCCAACACTGTGGGCACTGCTGAATTCAGAATACGTGACGGAGGAGAAGAAGCTCCAGCTGGTGAGGATGTACAGAATGGACACGAGCCGGGCACTGCAGAAGGTAGCACAGCAGATCTCAGACATGATTGAGAAGCAGGAAAACAGCAACAAACAACTGTGGTTCCAAGGAATTAGAAGACAGATCACAGCCTCTGAACTTCTCAGCTCAGCCATAATCACGGAGGAAATGCTCCGGGATCTGGAAACAGGGCGGAGCACGACACAACAGCTCCGGGAGGATGACCGCATCAAGCGCTACCTGGAGGGCACCAGCTGCATCGCGGGCGTCCTGGTGCCCGCCAAGGACAAGCCCGGCCGCCAGGAGAAGATGAGCATCTACCAGGCCATGTGGAAGGGCGTGCTGCGGCCCGGCACGGCCCTGGTGCTGTCTCTTATACACATCTAGATGTGTATAAGAGACAGGCTACAGCGGCGCAGCAGATCTCCCTCTTCCAAGCCATGCAGAAGGACCTCATCGTCCGGGAGCACGGCATCCGCCTGCTGGAGGCCCAGATCGCCACGGGCGGCGTCATCGACCCCGTGCACAGCCACCGCGTGCCCGTGGACGTGGCCTACCGGCGCGGCTACTTCGACGAGGAGATGAACCGCGTCCTGGCGGACCCCAGCGACGACACCAAGGGCTTCTTCGACCCCAACACACACGAGAACCTCACGTACATGCAGCTGCTGCAGAGGGCCACTCCGGACCCTGAGACGGGGCTCCTGTTTCTTTCTCTCTCTCTGCAGTGACTCGGCTTCCTTTGCAATTTTCTGCAACTCTGGAGAAACTGTGGCGTAATTTTATGTCTGTTTTTTTTTTCTCATTCTTTGATTTTGTTGTTTTACCCATTCGTTATCTGTGGAAAATGTTTTAAGTTATCATGTGACAGTAACTTTTTCTTTGTCCATCAAGGTGTTTCTGGACATCATAATTTTTTTGGTGTGTTTTCTGAGTCCTCTAAGTGTCATATGGTTTTCCTTTTCACTCCTTTTTGATTTTCAGAACATTTTCCTGTCCATTTTGGATTCCCTGCCGGCATTTTACAGAAGGTCACTCTTTAGACTCATTCCATCATGCCATCGGGTGCTCTCTTGTTGCAATGTAATTCTTATTACATGCTGATATTTCCTTTATGATGTGCTCTTCATGTTCATTGTCAAACTCATTTTCCATCCGACGATGTCTACTATTTAGTGCTCTGGCTCAATTTCGGTCCTCCTCCCCGGCCTATCCACCTGCTGCTGTGCCGGCCCAAAGCATGGGCGTTATTCTGCTGGCTGTTCCACCTTAGAGGTCTGACCTCACCAGCACTGACTGTACGCGTCTGTTGTGGAGAAGGACCTTTGGTAGTAATTTATTAGGAAAAATTCTGAACACATAAGACACGAATGAAACTCGTGTTTGATTTCAGGTTTTTGAAGGTTCAATCACCAATTTTCGTACCCTTAATATAGAGACAGTAGATTAAACAAGGAAAGTAAGCCGTCCAAAATCCAGGGTTCCTGGAGCCATATCTCAGAATCATATGCCCATAGGTTGCAGTGAAGCTCAAAGATTCCTGGGAGAACCAAGAAGTTTCGTTGTTCATAGAAGTGTGGCCGTTCTAGCAGGTGACCAAGAACAAGCGCTTGCTAGTCCCCCCTCATTCACTCCACACATGGGTTGCCTGTGGCGTCTGGGCCGCTTGCTCTCCAATGGTAGCAAAACACAGCAAGAATCCCTGGGTTCCGCCTGGTGGCTGTGTGTGGCTGGCCTCCTGGGGGCCTGCAGGCTGGGCGTGGATGCCGTGGAGGACACTCCCTGTGCTGGACTGGCTGGGGCGAGGGCAGATAGAGCAGACAGGGCTTGGACATTCGGGATGAAGAGCCAGTGGCCTCAGGGTAGAAATGACACGTGGGTAACTCATCAAAATGTGCCTCCCAAGCTCTAGAGAAAATCCCTGCCAGGGTCTGTGTGGCCTTTGCAGGAGCATCTGGCCCATCTGGAGGTGGGCTTGAGGGGACAGGCGGCCACAAGGAAATAGAAACGGTAGCCAGGCGCGGTGGCTCACGCCTGTAATCCCAGCTCTCAGGGAGGCAGAGGCAGGAGGATAGCTTGAGCCCAGGAGTTCGAGACCTGCCTGGGTAATATAGCGAGACTCCGTTTTCCACAAAAAAAAAAAAAAAAAAAGACAGAAACGATAGTGAGGTTCACATGTGCTAACATTCACAGATGGCAAAGGAGTCACTCTGCATGATCCACTTAATCGCTCTCATCCAGGTTTTACAGCTGTCTGAGTAAGACCGTGTACAACCGACGATGCAGGCTAGGATGGGCGATGCAGTCAGGGCACTAGCCTTGAAAAGGGGGACAGGGAGAACCTTGAAAAACAAGGCATCAGCAGGGTGCTTTCAACCACATTCTTTCTATTGTTCTTGAGCAAGTCCTGTGTGTGTGCCCGATGCCTGTGTTGCAGAAGTTCTCACTGTGAACTTTACAGCAATGCTGAAGCAGGAATTAGCATGCCTGATTAGTGGTGATGGGACCCACGTTTTTCTATCCTTTTACCTTCACCTTCTCTGTCATTATATTTGAAGTGAGCCCCTTTAGGCAGCATATTAATGGGTGAGGTTATCTTTATCCAATTTCACAATCTCTATGTTTAAATTGGCATATTTACACCATTACATTTTATGTAATTATGTGTTTGGATTCATTCTTTGTTTTCTTTCCCTCCTCTGTTTTTTGTTCATTTCCCCTCCCTTAGCTGCCTTCTTTTGGATATTGGAATACTTTTTAGTATTCCATTTAAATTTATTGGCTTTGGGCTATTCTTTTCTAATTTTTTGTTGGTCACCCTGGAGATTACAGTATACTTATGAGTTTTGACACTCTTCTTCGCATCTCTGCTCTGCCACTTCACGGAGGTGTGGTCTCTTTCTCCATTTCCTCCCCCATTCTATCTCTGTCATGTTGTCACATCTACATCCACTGAAAATCTTACCAGGTAATGGGGCAATTTTACTTTCAACAGTATAGATTTTTTAATTTTTCTTTTTGGAGACAGAGTCTTGCTCTGCCGCCCAGGCTGGAGTGCAGTGGTGCAATCTTGGCTCACTGCAACCTCCGCCTCCCTCCCAGGTTCAAGTGATTTTTGTGCCTCAGCTTGCCAAGCAGCTGGGACTACAGGTGCGCACCACCATGCCCGGCTAATTTTTTGTATTTTGATCTCTACTTAACGGTATTTCATCATGTTTCCCAGGCTGGTCTTAAACTCCTGAGCTCAGGCAATCTGCCCACCTTGACCTCCCAAAGTGCTGGGATTGTAGTCCACACCCGGCCTCGACAGTAATAGATATTTTTAATGACTTAAAAAGTGAAAACAGCATATTATGCTTGTCTAAATACATACCATTTCCATTGCTCTTTCTGCATTCCTGAAATTCCAGGTTCCCTCTGGTATCATTCTCTTCAGGCTAAATACCTTTCTTTAGCATTTTCTTTTAAAGTTGGCCAGTGAAGCACTTTGGGAGGCCAAGGCGGGCAGATCACTTGAGGTCAGGAGTTCAAGACCAGCATGGCCAACAAGGTAAAACCGTCTCTACTAAAAATACAAAAATTAGCTGGGCGTGCTGTTACCTGTAATCACTTGGGAGGCTGAGGTGGGAGATCACTCAGACCCAAGAGGCGGAGGTTGCAGTGAGCCGAGATCGCACCACTGCACTGCAGCCTGAGCAACAGAGTGAATCTCCATCTCAAAAAAAGGAAATATAGTCTGCTGGTGAGGAATTTTACACATATAAATACATAAAATATTTGATTTGAGTTTATCCTATCTGGAGTTGACCAAACTTTTTGACTTTCATAAGTTTATATCTTTCACTAAATTGGAGAACTTTTCTGCCATTATTTCTTCAAAATAAATGTTTTATGTACTAATATCTTTCCGTTCTCCTTCTGGAGCTTCAGATACAAAAATTAAAGATGTTTTGATATTGTTCCACAGCTCTCTGAAGCGTTGTTCATTTTTTAAAAAACTTGTTTCTCCTGTTTTCCAGATTAGATAATTTCTATTGATCTCTTTGCAAGTTTACTGACTCCTTCCTCTGTAATCCCCCTTTTGCTGTTGAGACACTCAGTGAGCGTTTTTTTTCTTTTTTCTTTTATTTGAGACGGAGTCTCACTCCGTTGCCCAGGCTGGAGTGCAGTGGGGCGTGATCTCAGCTCATTGCAGAGTCCACCTCCTGGGTTCAAGTGATTCTCATGCCTCAGCCTCCTGAGTAGCTGACACTACAGGTGTGCACCACCACGCCTGGCTAATTTTTGTATTTTTAGTAGAGACAGGGTTTCTCCATGTTGCCCAGGCTGGTCTCAAACGCCTAGACTCAAGCGATCTGCCCACCTCGGCCTCCCAAAGTGCTGGGATTACAGGCATGAGCCACTGCACCTGGCCAACTTTTTTACTTCAGATGATTTTTCACTTCAGGTAATATGCTTTTCACTTCCGCCATTTCCACGTGCTGAGAACGTCTGTCTTTTCACTCATTCCTGGGGTGTCCACTCTTGCCTCAGGGAACATCGGGCTGGAATTGCTGCTGTGAAATCTTTTTCTGGTCCCTCCAGCATCTGAGTCCTGGGGTCCTGCCAGCAACTGTCTTTTCCCCTGAGACTGGATCCAATTTCCAGTCCTTGGCATGTTGGGTAATTTGGGGTTGTATCTTGGATATTTTAAATAATCAGATGCGAGACTCTGACCCCTGTGAGAACGCGCTTGAGAACGTTGGTATTTTCACTTTGGCAGGCACTTGCCCTGGCTGGGTCCAGGCCACAAGCCGCGTCCCAGCCTCTGTGTGCAGTGGATCCGCGCTGGCTCCATTCTCAAGGCTTTTGCTGTGCAGCATGTTCCCCCACACATGCTGCTCAGCTCAGGCGAGCACCGAGCTTGTGATGTTTCATGCTCAGCGTGGAGGCCCCTTCTCCAGGTCTCTGCTCCGTGGGGGCCCCCACACACTCAGGCTCCTAGGAGTCCTCCATTTAGAAAGCCAGGGTTTCTCTCAGAGTCTTAGTTCCTTGTGCTGTCATCCATTTCAGATGACTTGGGCCCTGCTCAGGGCAGCACAGCAAGAGAAAAGACAGAGAAAATAAGAGAGGGACGCTGCACACACACGCTCTGGACCACAGAGCCCTGTGCCCAGTTCCTCTGTCAATACAGGTGGAATCTCGTGCAGGATCTCAGGGGCCCAAGATGCCACCAAAGATCAGGCCGGGACAGGATTAGGAGAGAGAGGAGAGGGAAGTGGGGGTTTCTCCTGTGCACTCTGTTTGCAGAGGGAAAGGCGGGTTGGCGTTGGGGTTGTCGGTCTCTGCACCCACGGCACAGTTGTGAGACACCCCCATCCTCAAAACCGCACATACAGCTGGGGAAAAAAAAAGAAACAAAAAAACAAAACAGTAAACCTCCGCGCCAGTTGTTGGTAAGTTCTGAGTTTCCTCCCCAGCCAGCTGCCACTGTTAGCGTTCCACAGTCCTCCGGGAGTCGCTTTTTATCTTCTGTCCAAAGGGAGAGAGGAGCTGTAGTGGCCGTGCGAAGTGTCCAGAAGTGCTCTTCTGATTTTACAGGTGAAGAACCAGAGTCCTGGGGGTGTAACAAGCCCAGGTTCTCAAGGCAAGGGCAGGAACTCACGAGCGCCCAACTCCAAACTGTCCTCGCCCCACAGGCTTGTGGTGGTCACTGCCGCCCTGTGCATCCTGGATAGAAACACTGCTGGAGGAGAAGGCTTTCTCAGAGCCCTGGGGAAGGGGATGGCCAGGCCACCTACACTC